CCTGGGTTCCCAGCTTTCGTTTGATATGCATTAAGCCATAGTTGAAATATTTTCTATTGGTGGAGGTCATTAGAGGTCATTAGAGGTCATTAGAGGTCATTAAAGTTCAATTTTATTTTATTATAGGAATTTCGAACCCTAATTAGGCGCGCACCCAAAAAATTGGAAGATTTGAACCAAAAATGAAGGCAGGGCCCCCCCCCCCTACATCAAATGTGCCAACTCCACCATCCCCTTTAGTGTAAATTATAAATTATCCTTTATTCAGAAAATCTATCTGATTCTAAAATACGTTTTATTAAAAAAGCACTCAACAAACTTTCCACTAATTAGTTGAAAGTTTATCATTTAAGTATTAAAAAGAAATGAATAAAATCAATTCTCTGGAAAACTATCTCATTAAAATATATTATTATTATTTGTTTGTCCAAAATACAGGAACAGGTTAATCTACGAATGAAATTTGTCTCAATATCTTCTATATATATACTTTGCTTGTCTGTCTATTTTGTTTTTATCCAATAAACGGCAAAACGGCTGAACCGATCGGGCCCAAATTTTGTGTGGGACCTCACATGACCCCAGGAAAGGTTTATGGAGGATCAAAATTTCAAAATTAGCATCCAATAAAATTTGATTGTCATTAAATTTGAAAATCCACGAAATATTTTTTTTATAAAATCCGCTAAAATTTTTTGTTTTCGTTTTACAATGTATGCAAACAGAAAATGTTTCAATTGAAATAGAAGATGGGCGCGAATGAGAGCCTAGTATTCAATAAAACACACAGTGCTGGGGTGTTATTTTTCTTGAAAAATCATTTCACCATTCTTTGAAAATCACCCCCCCCCCCCGGGGAAAGGTTTTTTCAATTTTTTGCAGGCTGGAATTTTCTTTTAAAAGAACATAAATTGTCCTTGAAAATGAATACCCCCCTTTATACCTTCATAATTGTTGGATGAGTGCAGCCTCCGGTTATTTTGAGAATCTGTGCTCCAGGTTTCAATTCTTCGTTTGCTTTTACAAGTATCTCTTCAACCTTACCAACCTTACCTAGAGTATTAAGTTTTATAGAGATCACACGAATACTCGCGATTTAAAAAATTCGGGAAAATACGACTCAGGACTAAGCTCTTATCAAGCCTTATTTACGGCTCGAGTCCTGGAATAGGTTTCAACTAATTTTCCATAAAAACACAGCAAACCAAGATGTGCACGCTTTCATGCAACATTCTATTAGTATTTTGCCAATTACTTCTCTTAGACTTAAGCTAGAAATACGTTCGTTGCATTTTTTAAATAAATAAGCCTAAAGCTAAAAAAAGTATAAAGTAAGTTAGTCAGAGCTGGGAATTTTTGAATGGTGGATATCGGGATTAATGCTTGATCTCCTCTTTTTCTTAATATCCAGATTAACTAATGCTTGTTCTGCTCTTGTTATTAATCTCCAGAGCTGAAAACTTTAGAATGGGATATCCTTAATCCCGATCGGTTAATTAATCTGGAGATTAATAACAAAAGGAGAACAAGCAATATTTAATCTCGAGATTAAGAAAAAGAGGAGATCAAGCATTGATTTCGATATCCACCATTCTAAAGTTCCCAGCTCTGAGCTGAAAACTTTAGAATGGTGGATATCAGGATTAATGCTTAATCCACTCTTTTTCTTAATCTCCAGATTAAATATTGCTTATAAACCTCATGAATTTAATCTCCTGATTAATTAACAGATCGGGATTAAGGATATCACATTCTAAAGTTTTCATCTCTGCTCAGAGCTGAAAACTTTTGAATGGGATATCCTTAATCCTGATCGGATAATCAATCTGGAGATTAAAAATGAGAGGAGAACAAGCAATATTTAATCTCGAGATTAAGAAAAAGAGTGGATTAAGCATTAATCCCGATATCCACCATTCTAAAGTTTTCAGCTCTGATTAAATAACCTATCGGGATTAAGGATATTCCATTCTAAGGAAAATAAAACCGACCTTGGTTGGTTTTAAAAACCCGGAATACGCCAATTCCTACCATGAAAATCCGCCAAATAGAATATTAAACCGGTCTTATGAATTCAACTCTGTGGAAATTAGATGCAACTTAGATCCAAAGGCTCAAGACATAATTAAAGCCCAATGACAGCTAAGAACTGAGTTGTCTTTTCATGAATTTTTTAAATCGCAGGCTCTTTACTTTATACTCTTCTAGACTGCAAGCTCTGTTATACTTCATACTCTTAACGACTGGGAGCTCTATTTAACTATATCTCTGTTAAACTTTCAGATATCACTGTTTAGAATACTGAGTGTATAGTTTAATAGAGATCCCAGTCTAGAATACTGACTATATAGTTTAACAGAGATCATAGTCTAGAATACAGAGTATATAGTTCAACAGAGCTCGCAGTCTAGAATACAGAGTTTAAGCTTAACAGAGATCACAGTTTAGAATACAGAGTATATATTTCAACAGAGCTCGCAGTCTAGAATACAGAGTATATAGTTAGACAGAGCTTACAGTTTGCAGTTTAAGTATATAGTCTAGAATACAGGTAATATAGTTTAACAGAGATCCCACTTCAGAATACAAAGTGTAATATAGTTAAACAGAGTTTAAAGTCTAGAATACAGAGTATATAGCTAAACAGAGCTTGCAGTCTTGAAGAGTATTAAGTATAACAGAGCTCGCAGTCTAGAAAATTATAAAGTAAAACAGAGTTTGCAGTCTAGAAGAGTATAAAGTATAACAGAGCTCACAGTCCAGAAAAGTATAAAGTAAAACAGAGCTCGCAGTCTAGAAGAGTATAAAGTATAACAGAGCTCACAGTCTAGAAAAGTATAAAGTAAAACAGAGCTCGCAGTCTAGAAAAGTGTAAGGTAAAACAGAGCTTGCAGTCTAGAAGAGTATAAAGTTTAACAGAGCTCGCAGTCTAGAAAAGTATAAAGTAAAACAGAGCTCGCAGTCTAGAAGAGTATAAAGTAAAATAGAGCTCGTAGTCTAGAAGCGTATGAAGTATAACAGAGGTCACAGTCTAGAAAAGTATAAAGTAAAACAGAGCTTGCAGTCTTGAAGAGTATAAAGTAAAACAGAGCTCGCAGTCTAGAAGAGTATAAAGTATAACAGAGGTCACAGTCTAGAAGAGTATAAAGTAAAATAGAGCTCGTAGTCTAGAAGCGTATGAAGTATACCAGAGCTCGGAAATTGAGCCCGACCATATTGCTAAATTTTCTCCTGACCTGACTTGAACTTGTGAACAATCTGCTTCCCATCCTGTTGGTAGAGAAGAATTATTTTCCCGATAGATAAATAGGTTCCTGGCTTCACACGAACCTCCTGAATTATAGATAGATAGATAGATAAATAGGTTCCTGGCTTCACACGAACCTCCTGAATTATAAGTAGATAGATAGATAGACGGATAGATAAATAGATAAATAGGTTCCTGGCTTCACACGAACCTACTGAATTATAGATAGATAGATAAATAGGTTCCTGGCTTCACACGAACCTCCTGAATTATAGATAGATAGATAGATAAATAGGTTCCTGGCTTCACACGAACCTCCTGAATTATAGATAGATAGATAGATAAATAGGTTTCTGGCTTCACACGAACCTCCTGAATTATAGATAGATAGATAGATAAATAGGTTCCTGGCTTCACACGAACCTCCTGAATTATAGATAGTTAAATAGGTTCCTGGCTTCACACGAACCTCCTGAAATATAAACAAATGAATAGATGGTGTCCTGGTTTGACACGAACCTTCTGAATTATAGATAGATAGATAAATAGGTTCCTGGTTTAACACGAACCTCCTGAATTATAGATAGATAGATAGATAGATAGATGTATAGATATTAGGTTCATGCCTTCACACGAACCTCCTGAATTATAGATAAATAAATAGATGGTGTCCTGGTTTCAACCGAACCTTCTGAATTATAGACAGATAGATAGATAAATAGGTTCCTGGCTTCACACAAACCTCCTGATCTATGAATAAATATCGCCAGGGATTTTTTTCAGTCTGAAATTGCACACCTACGATTTGATTTAATTCCTCTTCGATATTCCTTTATCTAATATAGGGATAAAGCATTTATCCTCAAATTAAAAGTACCCAAATTGGATATCGAGATCAAGCATTCAAGATTAATGTTACTACCCGCAAAAAACGACATTTGAAAAGTTAAGAACTACATCAGATCGAACAATTGCAGAAGGAAAGAAGACGACAATAATTCCACTGTTTTCCGGTTGCCACTGTACACTCCTGAACTATTTGTTACTCACCTTAATCCTCCCTTCCCCTGGGCCGTGGAATTCTAGAATTTCAGTCATTTTTGCATTTATTGAGCATCTGGAACACATAAATTTATTAAAAATTATATTTTACTAAAAATTTCGGATTTTCATAATTTATCTAAAAATAAACTGAAAGCATACAGCCAATTATCCCATTCTACTTCACATCATCATCTACTCAGTTTTAACATCCTCCTTTTTCTTATCGTAAAGAATAAGACCACGCCTGAAAAAAAAGATATTATTAGCTTATGTTATGATGTATTCTGGGGCTAATGTGTCAAAAATCTATTAACAAAACTTTATTTTAAAAATATTTTCTTTCGAATTTTGAACCTGAACAATGAACAGTGAATTTTGATAATAATATACTTTAAAGATTTGCGAGAAAAATACATAACTATACAGTATGCAACTGATAGTTCTCCAATTCTGCTCAGTTTCATTTGCCATAATTACACTAGCCATAAGTCACACTTGCCGTTGCCATAATGGTTACACTTACCATAATTACACTTGCTATATTACTTTTGTCATAATTTTCTAATTTCTAAAAATGAAAATCTGTTTTTTTATTGCAAATGTGGGAAATTTCCCCATGAAAATTCCCAACTTTAGTTTTCTCAATGGTTTTAAAACAAAACATAGACACAAGTTTAGCTCCATATTTTCTCACAATGGAGGACCGGTGACCTTTGAGACCACAAGTAAGGGTAAACCAATAGTTCGAGACAGCAACAACTACACCTATTTAGCCAATGCCTCGTCTACAGAAATGAAATATTGAAGATGTTCGGTTAAAATGTGCTCAGATAGAATTCGAACCGGAATTCGAACTGTCTCTGAATTAGATTTGTAATTTGTATTTAATTTGTAATAAAAATATATATATATATATATGCTTGTTAATTCTAACCAAATTTAATTTTAATTATGGCAAGTGTAATTATGGCAAGTGTAATTATGGCAAGTGTAATTATAGCAAGTGTAATTATAACAAGTGTAACCATTATGGCAAGTGTAACTTATGGAAAGTGTAACTTATGGCATGTGTAACTTATGGCAAGTGTAATTTATGGCAAGTGTTACTTATGGCCAATGTGTTATGGCAAATGTAAGTTTGGCAAAAGTATATCTGGCAAAACTATTATGGCAAATGAAACTGAGCCATTCTGATACTGCAACCCTCCAAAAAAATAATTTAACTTCCTCGTTTGATGTATAAAAAAAACTTGAAAATAATATGTTTGAGTAAAATATTTTTGAAAAATAAATAACTCTAATGTGGTTCTTTAAAAAACACTTAGTTCGTAAAGCATAGCTAAACTTTTTCACGCCCATAAGTTCAAAGCTCGAGTAAATATATGTAACAAAGACGAGATTGTACATTGTACCTGCCCCCTGACGCATCTAGCCCCTGCTTGTACGCTTCGTGACGGCGTAGATTCACCTCGACCAAGGACATCTCATGCTAACAAAAACAAAAACAAATATAAAATTAACTTTATAATAAAGCGTTTGATTTGGTTTCATGCAGGTCATCTAGGTATCAAACCAGTATGAACTATACTAAATTATAGAGAGAAAAGTACGCAAGTTAAAATGCTGGAAAAAGAAAGAAAGAAAGGAGTAAGAAAATGAAAACGTGGTTGGGACAGGAGGGTAAATTTAAAGAGGTTGGGACAGGAGGGTAAATATTAAAGTGGTTGGGACAGGAGGGTAAACATTAAAGTGGTTGGGACAGGAGGGTAAGTATTAAAGTGGTTGGGACAGGAGGGTAAATATTAAAGTGGTTGGGACAGGAGGGTAAATATTAAAGTGGTTGGAACAGGAGGGTAAGAATTAAAGTGGTTGGGACAGGAGGGTAAATATTAAAGTGGTTGGGACAGGAGGGTAAATATTTATTACCTAGATAAAACAGAAACACACTGAAACTAGGAAAACGAAAACTAATTGCAAAAGAAAACTGGGGATAGGGAAACTGATAAAAAACAAGGAACGGGAAGAAAAAGAATGATAGGATGAACAAAGTTAAAGAAAATAGGAGCTAGAAAGAGGAAAAGTAAACGGAATGGAAAGGATGGAAAAACTGGGAGCTAGAAAGAGGAAAAGTAAACGGAATGCAAAGTATGGAAAAACTGAGAGCCAGTAAGAGGAAAAGTAAACGGAATGGAAAGGATGGAAAAACTGGGAGCTAGAAAGAGGAAAAGTAAACGGAATGGAAAGGATGGAAAAAACTGAGAGCTAGTAAGAGGAAAAGTAAACGGAATGGAAAGGATGGAAAAACTGGGAGCTGGAAAGAGGAACAGTATAAGGAATGGAAAGGATGGAAAAAAACTGAGAGTTAGTAAGAGGAAAAGTAAACGGAATGGAAAGGATGGAAAAACTGAGAGCTAGAAAGAGGGAAAATAAAAGATATGGAAATTATGGAAAAACTGAGAGCTAAAAAGAGGAAAATAAAAATAAATTGAAAGGACGGAAAAACTGAAAGCAAATATGGGAAAAGTAAAAGAAATGGAAAGGATGGAAAAACTGAGAGCTCGTAAGAGGAAAAGTAAAAGGAATGGAAAGGATGGAAAAACTGAGAGCTCGTAAGAGGAAAAGTAAAAGGAATGTAAAGGATGGAAAAACTAAGAGCTAGTAAGAGGAAAAGAAAAAGAAATGAAAGGAGGAAGAATAGAACATGAAAGAAAATAAAAGCAAAAAAAGGAAGTAGAAAATAAGATAACAGAACAGGCAAGTCTTCAGAAAGGAAATGGGATAAAAAAGGAGAAGAAAAACAGGGAAATAGGAAAAAATGATGGGGCTGAACTGGGAAAAAAAAGAGTGAAAATAAAGGAAAGGAAAGGAAGAAAGGGCAGGGAACATGGGAGGAGCTGGAGAGGGAGGGAATAATACCTGGTGTGTTTTCCCATACCAAGCAGTGAGGAAACATAGAATCAATGCAATCACCATCATTGCGATGCTAACTTTAACTCTGGCTTGGCTCAATGCCTAAATCATTTAAGAGGTCGATTTTCCACAACATGTTGATTTGAGTATCAAAATATGAGAATTGAAAGCCACAAATAGTTCGATTACGATTTTTACGTTTCTGAATTCAGTGTTTCTAGACATATATTTTGATACCCATACCATCTTGATGATACCCATTTCCATCTTGATATATTTATTTAATACCCATTTCCCATCTTGATATATTTATTTGATACCCATTTCCCATCTTAATATATTTATTTGATACCCATTTCCCATCTTGATTTATTTATTTGTTACCCATTTCCCATCTTGATTTATTTATTTGTTACCCATTTCCTATCTTGATATATTCATTTGTTACCCATTTCCCATCTTAATATATTTATTTGATATCCATTTTCCATCTTTATATATTTATTTGATACCCATTGCCCATCTTGATATATTTATTTGATACCCATTTCCCATCTTGATATATTTATTTGATACCCATTGCCCATCTTGATATATCTATTTGTTACCCATTTCCCATCTTGATATATCTATTTNAAGTTAAACTAACTTCATTTTGACGAGAATTTTTTTTTTATTTTCATGAAAAATTGGCTGAAATGAGTGAAATTATAAAAAAAACTGTGTATTTTCCAGGATAAAATCCGTACAATCCGTACAATTTGAAAACAAATCCGTACAATCCGTGCAATCCGTACAATCCGTACAATTTTAGGGTAAAAAAAAAATCAATCCGTACAATCCGTACATTTTGGCCACCCTGTATCTATTTGAAACACATTTTCTATCTTGATGATACCCATTTCCATCTTGATATATTTATTTGATACCTATTTCCAAACTTGATATATTTGGAAGTTTTTTTTTCTCGCTTACATATTAGTGTCTTGCTCTACACACACACAAAAAAGTTTGAAAAGCTTCTTTTTTAAGATTATATCAAAGTAAACTTTAAAGCTAGTACAAGATGATTTAAGCATTATTGTCAAAAAGTGTTCCATAGTTTCACTCTTACAATAAACCATTTGTGAGAATATTTTTGTCCTTCGATACCAAAAATAAATTCGTTTCTAGAAGGCAGTCCTTGGATTCCTTGCCAAAATTCAGAAAAGTTTTTGAAAACTAGGTTTAAAAATTGGCTTGTTTTGTTATAATCCGAAAATAGATAAAGAATGATTTCAATCTCATAATTTCAAAAAGTTTATTATAATTCGAGTAACCATGCTTCAAAATACTTAAATCTTGAATCGAATATGATTTCATTTATATTTCTTATTTCCGTTCTCTATCTTGTATGCTTGCTCTTAAAAATTGCATTTTTTTTAACATTTTAGATCAGGAACGGCGCATACATATATATAAATTCTAGCCTGGCATTTCTGGAATAAATTCAAATGTTATTCCTGAATTCCAATTCCCGAATTTTAAAATAGTTGCATAGAAATGCCAGATAATTGAATTAACAGGAAAGTTTTTTCTTTCTTTCTTTTTTAAAACTTTTTACCCAAAAAAATCATTTCTTTTCCCCGATTCAGCGAAAACCATATTCAGCTCCTGGGGAAAATATATGATTTTTATGAATATATACACCCTTGAAATATTATTTATGAGAATACTGACCTTCCCCATCATAGATACACCAACCCGATCCGGGATTGAAGCCATGTCAGGATAATACTGGAATTTTTTTTTTACATTTTAAATAATTTTAAATAATTTTAACTAGTCTCAGATTTTTATTTTATAACATCCATCAAATTCTTAATTGGATTCTTTATTAAAAACACTTATAAAACACAATAAAAAAAACTAATATCTTTAAGTTTGAGTTATTTTTATAAATATAAAACAAGGTCAAAACCTTCAAGGGACCAAAATTTAATGAATTCAGTTCAACTGTCTCAGACCTCCGCTGTCGGAGTAAAAGGCCCCAATTTAATGAATTCAGCTCAACTGTCTCAGACCTCCGCTGTAGGAGGTAGAGGCCCCAATTTTATGAATTTCATTTCCTTGGAACATTGTTAATCAAACTTGGAAAAACTAATTTATTAAAAAAAATGTTTCCCTTGAAATGAACAAGAATCCTTTTGTGGAAATCCGTCGGTACATGGTGAGCCTCCAAATCTAAATTAGATTAAAGATCTGCAACTTACATTTTCAAAACCTTAGATTGAATTTTCAGATTACACCAGCATTTAAGGTTTTAAGGGGTTGGTCGAGATGTCCTATTTGATGAGGGGGGGGGGTCCCTGCTTTTATTTTTGGTTCAAATCTTCCGAATTTTTGGCTGCACGCCTAATTAGGGAGCTATTTTCAAAAAATAAAATAAAATTGGACAATCTTGACCTCTAATGATCTTTGATGACCTCAACAAGTAGAAAATGTTTTAATTATGACTTTATGCATATTAAACGTAAGCTAGGAACCCAGGCAATACAGTAGAAGCAATAAATCCAGTGTTTGACTATTTAATAATCTTTAACGACCTCTAATGACCTCAAAATTGAAAATGATTTAACTATGGCTTTATGCAGTTAAATTAAAGCTAGGAACCAAGGCAAGTAAGGTAGCAGAAAAAAATCCAATGTTTTACCTAATAATGACCTCTTACGGCCTCTAATGACCTCTAATGGCCTCTAATGACCTCAAAATTGAAAATGTTTTAACTATGGATTTATGCCTATCAAATAAAAGCTAGGAACCCAGGCAATTCAGTAGCAGCAACAAATCCAGTGTTTGACCTTCTAATGACCTCTAACGATCTCTAACAACCTCTAACAACATCTATCAACCTCTTACAACCTCTATCAACCTCTATCAACCTCTAACAACCTCTAACAACCTATGATTACATAAAATTTGTAAATATTTTAAATATGGCTTTATGCGTATCAAACAAAAGCTAGGAACCTAGGCTTATTGCCTATAGCAGCATTCGTCTCTACTTTCTTTGCTGCTACTGTATTGCCAGGGTAACTATAGCTTTCCTTTGATATGGATAAAGTCATTGTCTAAACATGTTCAATTTGTAGGTCATTAGCGGTCATTAGAAGGTCAAACACTGGATTCGTTGCTGCTACTGAATTGTCTGGGTTCCTAGCTTTCGTTTGGCATGCATTAAGCCATAGTTAAACTATTTTCAATTTTGAGGTCATAAGAAGGTCAAACACTGGATTTTTTGCTGATACCTTATTGTCTGGGTTCCTAGCTTTCGTTTGATATGCATACAGCCATAGTTAACACATTTTCAATTTTGAGGTCATAAGATGTTGTTAGAGATCGTTAGAGGTCATAAGAAGGTCAAACAGTGGATTCGTAGCTGCTACTGGAGTGCCTGGGTTCCTAGCTTCCTCCGTTTGATATGATTAAAGCCATAGTTAAAACATTTTCAATTTTTAGGTCATTGGAGGTTGTTAGAGGTCGTTAGAAGGGAAAACACTGGATTTATTGCTGCTACTGTATTGCCTGGGTTTCTAGCTTTTATTTGATATGCATAAAGCCATAATAAAACATTTTCTATTTGTTGAGGTCATAAGAGGTCATTATAGGTCAATACTTACTTGTATTCTTGGAGAGTAGTTGGTGTAGCCCCCGCTAGGGGCATTTAGCAATATCAATAGCAATAGTATCGAATTTTATATAATTTTTTAAAATTAGCTCCCTTTATTGGCGTGCAGCCAATAAAATTGGAAGATTTGAACCAGAAATGAAGGCAGGGACCCCTGGGACATCTTTGCCATTCCCTTTAACCTAAAACCATCCCCATTTTTCTTAATAATCGAAAATTAACCATGTGGTACAAAGAAATCCAGGGGTGTAAGTTTTCTAGAATTATCATCCCCCCCATTGAAAATCATTTATCCACTATAGGTGCTCATTTTACATTTCCTGTAAAGATGCTCATTTTACCGTTCCTGTGTAGATGCAGCGCTCATTTTCTACCTTTCCTGGATAGATGCTCATTTTTACCTCTCCTGGATAGATGCTCATTTTTACCTTTCCTGGATAGATGCTCCCTTTTCCTGGATAGATGCTAATTTTTACCTTTCCTGAATAGATGCTCATTTTTACCTTTCCTGGATAGATGCTCCCTTTCCTGGATAGATGCTCATTTTTACCTTTCCTGGATAGATGCTCGTTATACCAGTCCTGTATAGATGCTCACTTTTTACCTATCCTGGATAGAAGATCGTTTAACCTTATATTATACCATTTCTAGGAAAGATGCTTATTATAAGTTCCTGGATAGATGCTCATTTTTACCTTTCCTGGAAAGATGCTCATGTTTAGCAACTTCAGTTTTTTTCTGTTCCGCGACTGCTTGAACTGCCTGGCTGGCAGGCTTACCAGTGGCCTGGTTGCTACACTGCCTAAACATGATTAATATATTTTCATATTAAACATGATTCTTGTTTAACTAGTAAACAATGCGACAGTTATATGTACTTTTTTTGTTAAGTTACCAAAAATTAATCCAGAAGGAAAAAAAACCCCGGATTGCTGGTGATTTTCATACCAATAGTTTTTGTTTCCAGGTTTCATGTTAGTGGTTGACAAATATTGAAATGTAGTTCACGAAATGAAAATATTTTTTGATACATGAAAAAATCTGCAAAACTTAAGTTTTATATCAAGCTTTGTTGCTGCAAAAGAGACAGTAATTTTTAATCGTTATGAAGGTGATAATATTTAAAGCTGAACATGATACTGTGTGCATTTAATAATAATTTAACTACAAATTACAAAACTCTAAAAACAAAATCATAATAAAAAGATTACCACTATATCTGTGCCAAGTGTATCTACACTCTACAGTTTACCTTGTTAAATTTTGCTGGATACCAGCTAGATTTTTGTAAACTGAACCACCATTCCTAGATGAAAAAATTAAAAAGCTTGATATTTTTCTACATGCTAATTAAATATAAAAGAACTGTAGACGTAAGCTGAAGTGACCCTACATCTAAAATGGCATAATCGATTGACAGTGGTAGTTTTTTCTGGGTTATTACAGAAGATATTATCTTAATACATCATACAAGTTTCTTTTAAAAGTTTCAGTTTTTAGAAAAAATGGAGATTTCTCATTCATCCTTGATCAGACAAAGGTTGAAAATGTTTTGAAAACAAACATGCTAATTTACAAATGAAAGGTCACTTAAATCACGTACACAGTCACTTTCATTGTTTACCCATATCTGGAGGGAATGAGAAGCAAAGCTCTATATATTGCCGACATCTTTAAATTATTGACATCTGAAATCAAATCATTAGTTGCAAAGGGTGCTAAAATTTTCTAGTTAACAATAAATTTAATATTTTAATTGTCTACCACTAAACTAACAAAATACTATTTTTAAGAGATATTCACATGAGAAAATGTACGCATTCATGTTATCTAATATAAGAGTTAAAGGAATAAAAATTTAAAAAATTACTGATTTGTTATTGAAAAAAGGGGGGTTAAAATTGCGTTATATCTGCTAATCTTTATCTCGATGAGAATCTAGAGTTTGGCGGGGAAAGCTCCTTTCTCCCTCAGATCATCCCACTTCTCGATCCAGGCGTTGGGGCAAACAGTTCTGGAATAAAAGTGTTAAGAGGACACAATCATTTTTAGTTAACATTCAATACAATAAAATTTATTTGATTAGTATGTTATAATAAATTTATTTCTAAATTTATGTGTCGTTAGAATAGGTAATTTCCTAGTATACGATTTTTGGAACCCCCCCTCGTATACTAGGACAGACCCAGGGAATGGTTTGCTTCAAGAAGTCGCCTTGCTCTTCGGCCATTTTAAACTGAAATTAAATGAAGAACTCCATAAATATCACGTAGATTTGCAGAAGAAAAAGAAAGGAAGGAATTACTGAGCTTCTGCTGCCGCGTCAAGTTATATTATTCAAAATTTTGAAAAATAAATCGTCTTCCTTCTCCAGATTGTGACAGTTGGAACCAGTTTTTGTTAAAACAAGGCGCTTAGGCGAGAGAGTTGCTACCTGCTGTGCGCAACATTCACTGGCGCCTTGTGCAGTGCGCGTAGTTCTGTTTTTATTTATTTTCTTGTTTCTTAAATCGGAGAAATTTATTTTAAGTTTTGATTCTTATCCTAGTCCGTGAAATATCGAAAAGGGGTTTAACTTGCACTTCTCTGAAATGCCTAAAATGAGGAACTTACTTCAGCGTGTTTTGAATATTTTCAATTTCAAATTATTGTTATTCTTATTATTATTTATTCTTATTATTATTCTTATTATTATGTTATCAGAAAATAATAAATTAAAATGAGTTCCGAAATTAGATATGCAGTTGTATGCTCGAGCAATATGAATAGGTTGGTATTGCTTTTCGATTTTTTACAGAATTTTTAACATAGAACTTCTAGAATTGATATTTTGATAAAAGTTTTGTTTATCAACTCCCCATTTTGTTTTTTAATTTGTTACATTTTTAGATTATGACTTTTGGTCCTGGACCCAGCCCCCCGCTCCCTCCTTCATCATGTATTTAAGAGTTATTATTAACAATAACTGGCCAAAGCGCTTGACCCCTAGTCTGTTCTGGCCGCAGTGCTCGGTCCGGAAGTTTGACCGCAGAGCTCGGCCCTTAACCTGTCCTAGCCGTAGTGCTCGGCTTAGAAATTGTCCTTCATAACCTAACCCTGAAATAATACTCAATACTTACTTATTTTGATGAACATAGGCCTAATTTATGCTTAGTCCAGAGGTTATATACAAAATACACGTACAAAAATTATGGAAGGGGTGGGGGGAGGGGCAAAAAGCGTTCTCCAGATAAATGCAAACGTTTTAAATTCTGTTTGATTTAGGAGTATGGAGGCGCATTCGTTCCTACAGAAGAAAGGATTCAATATTCGATCCTACGGGACCGGGGAGAAAATCAAAATCCCAGGTATTATCTCGATCTTTATAAGAAGTACATCTATAGTTTTCTTTGTTCTAAGGATTTGCCGATAGAAAGAATAGAATGATTTTCCAAAATTTTGATCACACCAGAAATAGTAATGGTCGAAACCGTTTTCTGATCAAAAATGTAAAGTATATTGAAATGAATCTTGAAATCCCTTTAAAGTTTACAACAAGGTCAGTCGTGCTCCCAAACAGAAGTTTAGCCTTTGACATTTTCCTTTGCTTTCTAGGAAGTAGTGCTAAAGAACCGAATCAGTATCCATTTGGAACTTCTTACGACGAGATCTACGCAGACTTGACCAGCAAGGACAAGGCTCTTTACACCAAGAACGGGATGCTGCACATCATGGAGAGAAACAGGAGAATTAAGGTGGATTCAATGCCTTGGGTCTTGATTCAATGAATCAGCAAAGATTTTTCTTGTTGAATCTGTATCCATGTTAAAGACCTCTAATATCTGTATCCATGTTAAAGACTACAAATATCTGTATCCATGTTAAAGGCTTCTAATATCTGTATCCATGTTAACGACTTCTAATATCTGTATCCATGTTAAAGACTTCTAATATCTGTATCCATGTTAAAGGCTTCTAATATCTGTATCCATGTTAAAGGCTTCTAATATCTGTATCCATGTTAAAGGCTTCTAATATCTGTATCCATGTAAAAGGCTTCTAATATCTGTATCCATGTTAAAGACTTCTAATTCTAATATAAACTAAAGTGAAAAATCTCTGGTGGGAGCTCATTTGTCAAATAAGTTAAAGTATAACAAATCGGAATAATTATGCTATTTAAGATAATATTCTGTAAAACTATTTTGGTACAAGATAAATTACTTTCAATTTTTCAAAGAAAATGAAGGTTCTCAATTTTGTTGGAATTTTTTTTTGAGAATTGTTTTGTTCAGCGAGGTCCTGAGAAGTTCCAGGAAACAAGTCACCAGTACGATATTATTCTGACAGTTGAGGAGAAGGTGTATGATCAGGTCAGCAGGGGTAAATATATTCTTGAAAAATCATTAACCCTCCTTTTCGTACACTACTCTAATGTCTTTTAGATTTTTCAAATTGTTCAAAAAATCCGATCATTTTATGATTTTCCTTGACCAAATATTGTTTAATTCACATTGAGAATTAAATCTAATGTGTACATCCAATAAATAAATGCAAGACAAAACTTGGCTTGGTTTGTATGCTGTAATTAGCTCTGTGTGCACAAAGAAATATATGCAAAAAGTCCATTTAAGTTTCTCACATGGCAAGTTTTAGAGATAGAGTTTTCAAAACATCTAAAAATTATCTAATAATCATGATAAACAGATTTGGTAATTCGTTTAATAAATGCTCCTGTTGGGGTTTTACTAATTTCTATAAAATCGACCCATAATTGTTAAAAATATAGCCTTTTCAGGCTAAAAAATGAAAAATAATTTTTATCTTTGCCTCTAGCATGATTTCTGAGCCAGCGATTTAAAAGCTTCGACTCAATACGTAATTCCTTAAACCTAGCTTTAAGACCCGATCTTAGACTCAACTCCGACGACAGCTTGTGTCACGTGATTGACAGGTGCGAGATCATAGACTCGACCTTGGAGTTAGGCCCAATGAAAATAAAACCGAACTTTGTTGGTTTTAGTGGAGAATAATGCTCCTTGTGGAGTCTTGTTCTCATCAAAACCCGGAATGCGCCAATTCCTACCGTGAAAATCCGCCAAATAGAATATTTAACCGGTTTTTGAACTTAACTCTGTGAAAAATAAGATGCAGCTTGAATCCGAAAGTTCAAGTCGTAAATAAGGCCCAACGACAGCTTAGACCAGAGTCGTATTTTCCTGAATTTTTTAAATCGCAGGCTCTGAACTGATTCATAAATTCTCGGGGATTTTTAATATTATTAGTTTTTTAATTATTATGTTCACTGTTCAGGTTCTGGAGGATTTCTCAGTGCGTGGTAGTGTACTGGAGAAACCGGTTCATGTAATAAACATGAATGTTGTTGACAATCCTGAGGTAAACAAGAAAAAATATAGTTTTTATCTTTTAAATGATTTGATCTTGATGAAATGATTGATTTTAGGATGCTACAATTGGTGCATTCCTCTTATGCGACCTTGTGCAGGAACTCTCCAATAGGTAGGATTTGTTACTTCTGAAATTAAATAAAGTTCACCATCTTCTCTTTTTTCAGCGAGGATCTTGACAACGATATTGAGGACATTATTCAAGAGTTTGAATCTAAATGTGAACGTGAAGTTCTTCACACGGTGTTGTTCTACTGAAAATGCGCGTAAATCTCTGATTTTTGGCCATTTTCTAGAAACTACTCTAGCGCATTCTTTAGCAGTCTTCTCGCGGAATTCATTCAGAAGTTAGTTTGGTATCAACACGTTTATACTAACATCTAAACTCAGATAATGGACAGGTGTAAATGAAATGGTTATTAGAAGATAAAAAAATTCTATCAAAGAACATTCCCGACAAAAAATGTCTTTTGTAATGTTTTTACCTAAAACCTGAATACTCCAATCTCTTTGTTGCTACCCTTGTACTTAATGGCGCCATGTTATAAGATTTTGGTGGTTAGTATAGCGGTAAAGATTTTTTGAATATAAATACACATGCATAGCTCTATTTCTGCTGGCTGGATTTTATGTTTGATTTTAAAATACTTTTTAATGGAAAAAATTTGTTGCAGGTCAATGCAAAACAGACTAAATACCCCCACCCCACCCTCCGAAAAAAATATTCTTTGCCAAAAAGTAGCTATTATGATGTATTCAGCAAATAATGTTGTAATATCGATTTATTTTTACCAAGTAACCCGCTTTTATTTAATTGAACTCGATTTAGGGTCCCGGTGAAATTGGTTAAAAATCAATTAAAATTTTGTAATTTCCTTTATTTGGACATCTGGTGATTATTATGATTTTTTAAAGCTATTTCTTACAAGTTATTTCTCCCAAGAATTTATTCATTTTTAACAAGTTAAGAAATAAAAATACTTTTAAAAATTATTTTCTTCACTTCGGGGGAATAAATGATCAAGGGACATCTACAGACAAGTTTTTTTTTACCTTTTTTGAAGAAAAAATTAAGCATATTTGAGCTGCAGTGGTGGGCGATTATATTAATACATTGAAGACAACTTTTTTATTTTAGTTTTGATTTGTTCAGAAGCTTTTTTCGAATTACAAGTTTACAAGTAGTTAATCAGAAGATTTTTAATTGAGAGCCTCTATTGACCTGTATGTTTATATGTATCCCATCTATCCATGCCTTGATTTAAATCAAAATTGAAATCGAAAGTCGTCTTTTTTGTATTGATATAATCGCCTACTACTGTACCTAACATGGGGGGGGGGAATTATTTTAAAGGGTGTTCATGATTTTTCAAGGAAATATATACACCTATAAAAATGGAAGCCAAATCTTTTCTACGAAGTATATATAAGTTGTTAAACTGCTCGCCTTTTTTTCTGAAATTTTGGCTTTTTAATTTTTGTATGTTTCAAGTACTTATTATCCTTTCTTATTTTCAGATATGTTGCTAAAAAATGGCATTGGATCATCGTGATGTGGGGTTTCGGGCGGGGGCTGGCCTAGAAAGCCCCCAAATGACGGGGGCAGGCCCGGAAGGGGCCGCTAAGGAAAGCCCCAGGGCGTCTGAGAATTTGATGCAGCGACGAAAGAAAAAATTTCAATACAGGGGGGTCAAGAGTTATGATATTGCTCGTGGAAGGTAAAACATGAATTTAAATTAGTATTCCATAAAAAAGGATTTTTATATGTAAATCCACAAAATAAAATGTTTTCGGAGAATACCCACTTAAACTTAAATTAAAAAGTCGTCTTCGTTTCTAATTAATCAAAACAGCATAGACTTAAACACTGATAAGTGCAACTTTTTGTCCATTGATAAGTTTCGAAATTTTTTAAGGTTTGGGTTTGGATTTACACTTTCCGGACAGGGGCCTTGTATCCTTAGTTCGGTTATATCTAGTTCACCAGCCGAGCTAGCAGGGCTCAAACCTGGAGATTCGTTGCTTACTGTAAACGGAACTAATGTATCAAGGTAAAAGAGAACACATTTAGAACACTAATTTATCAAGGTTATAGATAATACAATCAACGGATCTAATGTATCAAAGGTAATAAAAAAAACAGAACTAATGGATCTAGGTTATAGGGAATACATACAAGAGAAAACATTCAACGGAACTATTGCATCAAGGTAATGGAGTTTTAGTCAACGGAACTAATACACTAGGTATTTGAGAATACAGTCAACGGAACTAATGTATTAAGGAAATAGAGAATACAGACGACGGAAGTTATTTACCAATATGTTCGAATTATTATTTAATTATTTTATTATTTAATCCATGTAAACTATTTTGTACAATTTAAATAATATCGATACGGAGATAATAAATATTTAGATCTCAAAAAAAATATGTTCGAATTCAATTTTTATTATATTTTAGGTTGAGTCACAGCGAAGTTGTCAGATTAATTAGTCAGTCTCAAGGGTTAATCAGAGTTCAGGTATTCAATCAATCAAGATATTATAAAGTGATTTTATTGGTCCAAAATATTTGTAACAACCAAAAAGAAAGGTTTTGTTGATTCCTCTTTTTTAATGTTATTTGAGAAATAACATTAGTTGGGATGAGACTTAAATCAAAGATATGTTTAGATATAGGACAATTTGCATGTAACCAGAGAATTTAGACCACATATACTATTTGACCGAAAAAAGGATTCAAATCTGAAAATCTGTAATAACTTTCTCTGTGTTAAACATAGATTGCCCACCCCCCTTCCTTCTCTCCCTCCTCCCTCCTTCTTGTATTGTATTTAAATATTCGATCAAAAATAATGTGGCAAGGGGGGTGGGGGGGGAAGGGTTCTGACCACAATCAATCATTCAAAAAACGTATCATATGAAATATTCACATGCCTGAAAGAGCCTAAAAATGTTGGTTGTGATAACGTTAATCTACGCGGACTGAATTCGAAGATGTTTAATTGAAGTAATTCAATTTAATTCCGGAAATTTTAGAGAATATAAATAGATAAGAAATAAGAACGTTTTGGCCCATAGGTATCTGAGGGTCCGAACTCGGACAGTAGTTCTGACGAAGAGGAGAAAAGACGACCTAAACATCTTTACAGGTAAGAATATTCAAATCAGTCAATAAATTAAAAACACCGAACGCCAATGAAACATTACAACAATTTGAGGTTTGGGACTTGAATCAAATAGAACTTGAAACATTTGTAAAATTATTTAAAGAATAAAGGAAATTTTAAAAACAATTATTAGTTAAAACTTTAAAAATCAATCAATTAATAATGTTGTCTCAGGAGACAATTAAGAAGTGAATCCCCTCTGACTGAGTTGAACCCGAACTATGATAACATTGAGCTCTTCACCCATCCTAGAACTAAACCAAGTCAAGGATTGTCCACCAGGTATATTTAATATTAATACTTAACTCTTCTCTCTTGCTTTTTACCTGAAATTCGTTTACTCTCCCCAGTTCAGCGAATTTTATGTTTTTCAATTTTCTCTGACTGTTGGCATTGGCATTGTTCTTTGAATTTGCCTTAGCAATGTCCCTAGGGAGAATTTAGTTTATGTTTTTCATACTTTGGAGCTCGGTGGTGTCGTAAAGGAAAATGCTCGGTTTGAGTTTCATGTTCAGTCTGTATCGTTGATCTAAGTTTATCAGTCCCTTGATGTCTTTCTTTTGAGAGGCGGGTTGGAAAGCTTCGGTGATGAGCAAGGGACTGTAAACGTAGTTTCAAGTGACCCACCATTTTATATATTTTAAAATCGCTAATTTACAGTTTACACTTTATTTTTTCACTGGTTTTTTTTATTATTTTCATTATAGGATAATTTATTTCAGGATATTTTATTTGATTTTAGAATATTTTATTGGAGTTTTGGATATTTTATTTGATTTTAATTTATTTGATATTAAAATATTTTATTGGAGTTTAGGATATTTTATTTGATTTTAGAATATTTTTTTGGAGTTTATGATATTTCATTTCATTTTAGGATATTTTATTGGAGTTTAGGATATTTTACTTGATTTTAGAATCTTTTATTGGAGTTTAGGATATTTTATTTTAATTTTAGGATATTTGATTATAAGATATTTCGGTTGATTTTAGGTATTTCTTTTCACAAAGGTATTTAAATGTTGTTTCCGGAATTGAGTGATTCAAACATTTGATACTTTTTTTTTATAATGAACAGTTGGGTATCAATTGGAAATTTGGGGGGGGGGGGCTTTTAGATCTCTTTCCATACATAAACAATTTTCTTTATATTTTATATTTGTTATAGGTTTGAAGATATTACGGAGGAAAGGTTTTTTGATGGAGACAGAATCAAGGAACGAACTGGTCATCATTTCAGGTTGGATACATTTCATCATATAGATTTGGCGGGGTGGGTGAGGGTTTAGCCCGGTTGGAGAGTGGTTCTTGGTGTTCCCAAAATGTTGGTAATCAAACAATCAGACTTTGATGCCCTAACTGTCATGTCTTCTTCAATTTGCCCATCATGATAAAAAAATTACCAATTAACTAAAAAAATGCCAATTTTGATGGGTTGTTAAAAAAGTAAAACATGCAATTGTGCCTTAAAATTGGTTTAAATCAACAGCATTTGAAATTCTTTTGCTTTCAGAATTAATAAAATAAAAAAATTTAAAAATCATGTAATTAATTTATTTAACACATAAACAATCAATCAACCAATCATAAATCTTTGACAGGAGTAACTCAGCAGATAGTTCATTTATCGGTGACTCTCCCATATCAAACTTCAACTTCAGTCCTTCGAATCCATCAAACTTCACTCCTTCGAACCCTTCCAGCTCGAAGTTCAATGTCTCATTAAGTTCGACCCCTCGAAGGCCTGAATATCTCCAACGTAAGGTTGATCTAGGCGCCACAGAAGAACTCAGTATAGGAGGAGAACTACGGTAAATAATTATCCACGTTAAAAAAAAGAAAAAGAAAAACATTTCACCTCGTTATTTTTGAAAGAATGAATCTTTGTTTTTAATACTAAGTAACCCTCCACTTATTGATTTACAATCCAGGTTCAAAACGGTATCCTTAAAAAATGACGGAGTTCTCACACTGCTGAAAATGGACCATCAGGTTTTAATTCAAAACACCTCAAATTTTTCTTTGGATTATGTTTGTATTTAGGCTACTGAGTTATATTCTCAATTTTCAGGGAATTTTGAGCAAATCAATTTTTATGAAATTCTAGAAATCAAGTCTTAAATTAAAAAAAAATTTCATTCCAAGACTTTTTTCTTCTTCTTCTGGGTTTTTTGACGATATTTTTTTTAACAGTATATGACATGGCATCCCTATTTTATTATTTTTCTTTAACAGTCATGAATCTTATTGCAGCAAAAAATCAAACCCCTAAGCCAACTGCTCAACTGCCTGACTGTCAAAATGGTCAAAATGCGGCCCGAGAAAGTTTTTTGGATCTAATTTTTCTGAGTCAATTTCAAAAAGTCTTTTTGAGGCAGTAATTGGGCAATTATACAGTTCACTTAAGGCTTTGATTTTTTGCTAACACATGTCTTATGACTGTTAAGGAAAATTCACAAAATTTGGGGACCCTGCCATCAACAGTTCTAAAAATATCGCAAAAAAAACACAGAATAATCTTTAAACCTATAGTTACGATTGAGTTTAGACTTAAAAATGCACTTGATTTCTACAATTTCTTTAAAATGGATTTACCTAAATTTCCCAAGGTGGCATTTTCTAAAAATTTAGATTACAACTCAGAAGCCTGCATATTAATATATTCCGAAATAAAAATTAGGTGTTTTGACTTGAATCCTGTTGGTTCATTTTCAGCAGTGTGTTCTGCAGCAAAGAAAAAGTAGGAAATTTACAGAAATGATTTCTTACAAAGATAAACAAACCATTGCTGTTGCTCAGATAAAGGTTCAAAGAGCATTGTGAATCCGACATGTAACTCTGTAATTGAGGAGTCAAATAAAATAAAGTCACTTGTCACCTTAAAAGTACTCAATAATGTCCCAGGGATACACTAAACCCGACAATAAACCAGCTCCGGCATAGCATGAAGCTGCACATCCAGCGCAAGCTCAACCTGGACCTGGAGACTGCTGTGCTAAAGTGTATAGTTGGATATCTGGGAACTATAGAGCTCAGCTCCGATACCGGATCCACGGCAGATCTTCAGGGGATACGGAACTGTATCAGACGTTTTAGGTTAGTTTACTCATTTTTATCATTTGGAAGGGAGAACATGAATTCTCTTCTCTGTAAACATTCAAATATGTCCTCTTCAAAAGTCTGACGTTTTTTTCCAATTATTCCAAAATTTACCTCTAATCCCTAGGATGAAGAGAATCAATCATTTCATATTATTCTTGGTATTTAGAATATCTCTGTATTGGAAAATATCATTACATTATAGCTATAAAGTGCCTGATTGCATTCGATGATAAACTTGAAAACTGTTCTTTAAATTCAAAAATATCCCCAAAAAAACTAGGTCCTCTAAATGTAAAACAACAAGATTAAAATTTTAACCACATTAACTGTCCTTTCGATAAAACTTAAAAGAAAATTTTGCGAACGATCTTGTAAGTTGGAAAATTTGCAATTTAAAATATGTTCAAGGTAGAGAAAAAGGTGCACACTCTAGTATTATTTGTTATATTTGAAGACTGTATTGTTCATGTTCAGGGTAGAGAAGAAGGTGCACACTCTAGTATTATTTGTTATATTTGAAGACTGTATTGTTCACGTTCAGGGTAGAGAAGAAGGTGCACACTCTAGTATTATTTGCTATATTTGAAGACTGTATTGTTCTAATTAATCATCATGGACTCAAGCTAGCGGAATTTCAGGTAAATGCAGTACAGTTGTTAACACTGCAATAGAGATCACTGAACATTGGGTCAAACTGTACTGTACTGTACTGTACTGGACTGTACTGTACTGTACTGTACTGTACTGTACTGTCTGTACTGTTCTGTTATGTTCTGTACTGTACTGTACTGTACTGTTCTGTACTGTACTGTACTGTACTGTACTGTACTGTACTGTACTGGTCGACCATATATATTTCTTAATCTTTGTAATTTTATTTATGATTTACTGAAACAAATAACAATAGATAGAGTAAACTTTATTATTTTTCCAACCCTGAATGTAGAATACGTTGCATATTTCACATAAACCAGTTTATTTCCAATTCTACAAGTAACAATATTTAATAATTCCTTTTCCCGCCATGCACTGATTTAATATTTTCTCCTTATTTCGACATTTCCCCTAGTCTCGTGTTTTTTTTTCATTCGTCCAAAGCTTTTACTGTTTACAATAAAGGGACTGTAAGCGTAATTTCAAGAAACACTGCATACAAAGATGACAATGCCCGATTTAAAAATGGTATCCTTAGCTTTGTCTGATCAAGTATGAACTAAATATCCATGTTTTTGTTTTTTATTTTCATTTCTGGTTTCTCTTTAAAAGTGATTTCTCATAATCTTGCTTAATATAAAAGTTGAGAAATTATCAGAAAACGACTTAATTTTTCTTTTTACATTTTCGATCAGATAAAGGTTTAAAGGACACTGTTGTAAATCGGGAATTGCTATCTTTGCACACTAATTACGCCTACAGTCCCTTTAGTTCGAAACTACTCCCACTAAGTTTAAACCATACACTATTTACTATTTAGTCTGTGAACGTGAGTTTCTGTGGTGTTTGTGAGGACGATAAACGATTTTTTGGACTCGTTACATCACAGGTAAAAAAATTAAAAGTGAAACGAAGCAATTATTCATTAAAAATAGATATTAATATCCTTTACTTTGAGGGATAACATTAACATTTTCTAATGGCTTCTATTCTGCTAACCTTATCAAAGTATAGATACCGATGATACCTCTTATTTCTCTAGAATCTCGGGACGCGACTTTTCTATCATATAAAAGCAATTTGAGGTCGTGGATTTCTACATCAATGAAAATCAATAAGATTATTTTCATCAGAGACGGAATACGACGATATTATTCAAATTTAATCGCCATAAACCAGGTTTCCGTCTGTGCAAAATTAATTTGAGATTGAACATGTTTTCTTTAAGTAATCTTATTTGTAATATGGTATTTTTGGTTTTGGCAAGTGGAATTTCAAAATCGACCAATCTTAGTTGTTTTCCTTGTAAATTATTGATCGAACTTTTTTATTCAAAAAATATTACATTAAAAATATTCCTCAGGCCGGACACGATAATGGATCAAGTTCCTGTCACGTGTTTATGGTTGAACCAACCAGTAGTGAACATGAGAGATTAACACGAGCTCGGGTTTTCAACATTGTTCCTTCATACAGTCCTCAAGGTGATGATACAAATCATTGAAAATCCGCAAAATGTTTTATTCTAAAATGTTTAGAGTTTAGACCTTTATTGTTGAGTTTCTTTTTGATCTTAAACGCTTGATGTAGATATCCAATAAAGGCACTTTTAAAGGGGATGGTGGAGTTGGCACATTTGATGTAGGGGGGGGGG